GCTGCACCCTCTGCCCCCCCCCAGCTGCACCCTTCTGTTCCCAACTCCCCCAGCTGCACCCTGCTCCCCAGCTGCCGTGCCCTGGCTCCAGAGGCTGGTTCTCACCAGATGCAGGCTGCGGCAGTCCACCAGGGCGGTGAGGTGCTGTAGGTTCACCTCTGTGCCGTTCAGCACCTCCTGGACACGGAGCAAGGGGTCCTGGGGAGGGGCATAGCACACAAGGTCAGTACCACGGTCGGTGGAGGGGGCAAGGCAGGCATAGGTCCTCTGGGTGCCCATCCACCCACACTCTGCCATCAAGACCACCCTTGACCCTGTGGTCTTGGCACAGACCCTGAGGACCCTGGGCTTCTAGAAATGATGGCCAGAGTCTGTGTCCTGGCCTTGGAGGGACTGTTGAGGACAGGAGCATACAGGGGAAAGTGGGACCCATGAATGCCTGTCAAAACAGAAGAGACAGCAAATACCCACGTAGCTCCTGAAGGGGCCCTGGTTCTCTTAAAAATCTTACTTTAAGGAACAGTTAAAAGGAAAATTTTCATGATATTTTAGATGACAAAACGTTATCCAAATGCTCTGTATAGAGCGAGCCCGGTCCTGTAGTGTGCGTGTGTTTGTGCATGTGCGTGTCCACGCCTCTGTGTGTGTGTGTACGCGGGGACCTCTCCCCACATCCTGTCCACGGAAAGATGGCCTCACAGAAACCCTTTGGGGTTGACGGGGCTGCCTCTAGACCAGCCGCTGGACCCAACACTGTGTTACGTGGCGCATGTTCAAAGAGCACCCTGTGATTCTGAAGCGGATCCCAGGATAACAACTCACCAACAGGGGCTGAACTGTGTCCCCCCACCAAATTCATATGTTGCATTCCTAACCCTAAATACCTCAGAACGGGGCTGTATTTGTCGGCGGGGCCTTCCCGGAGGTAATTAAGGCAAGAGGAAGGTCATGAGGTGGGGGGGGGCCCCAACCCATGGGACTGGGGTCCTATAAGAGGAGGGGGACGGGGCCACACACAGGCCCAGGGGGATGACCACCGAGGACACGGGGAGAACACATGGGGAGATCTCCATGCCCTGGACAGAGGCCTCAGGAGACGCCAGCCCAGCCCACGCCTGGCCTCGATCACGCTGACTTCCAGCTTCCAGCACACGAGGGAGTGAGTCCCTGCCGTCTACGTCCCCCCAGTACGCGGAGCTCCGCTGTGGCAGCCCCGGCTACCTCCCCACTCACTCGCAAAGTACCCAGAGGAGCCCTGGCCCAAACAGAAATAATAAGAGAAAGTAATTTTAATATGTATGTTTACGTGTCCATCTTTTTTTTAACTCAAATTTTGCGAACAGCTCGTTACAGAAGGTCCAGCGGGTCACGAGAGGAGCCTGAGCCCAGCTGTGCGCATGGACGGCCCCCCACACTCTGCGGTGGCGCTCGCACGGGCAGGACCCCCACGGGCGGACCCCCCCGGCCCCAGGACGCTGGGCTTGGTCAGGAGTGCAGTAACAGACATGTGGACGAAATGCTCAGGTCCCAGAACACCAGAAAAGCCACCGCCCCCCCAGTTCCTGGAACACCCCCAAGGGCGGGGGGCAGACCTTACTTTGTTCCTACATCTGTCCCCATTTTCCCTTTTCCCTTTTTATTTTTTTAAAGATTTTATTTATTTGACAGAGAGGCATAGCGAGAGAGGGAACACAAGCAGGGGGAGTGGGAGAGGGAGAAGCAGGCTTCCCACTGAGCAGGGAGCCCGATGCGGGGCTCGATCCCGGGACCCCGGGACCATGACCTGAGCCGAAGGCAGACGCTTAACGACTGAGCCACACAGGCGCCCCCCTTTTTATTTTTTTAATTCGAAGAGTTTGTATTCCTTTTAAAATAAAGAGCAGAATTATTTTTAGAAACCTACCCCAAGCCCCCAGGGCAATGAAGGGCAAGTGGAGGGGAGGAGGAGAAGCCTCTCCACCAAAGGGTGGGAGAGAGGGGTAGACCCCTGGCAGGGTCCCAGCAGGAGGCTGCCTGAGCCGGGGGCGCCGGGGCAGGCGTTGCTCACCGTGCGGCCCACTCACCTTGGTGGCCGGGGACTCCCGGGGGACCGTCTTCAGCAGCTCAGCCACCACGTCCTGCATCTCCACCAGCGCCTTGTGGCTGCCAGACAGCTTCTGCTCCACAGAGAGGCTGGCTGATTCCGGCTGGGGCGGCCCCCCTTCCCCAGCCCCACGCACACCCAGCTCAGGCGGGCCCGGGGCCCCGGGGGTGCCCTCGGGGAAGCTGCTCCCTCGTCCCCATGAGGCTGCCCACACACGCAGAGGTAATACAGATTCCAAAAGCACAGTGACTTCAAAGGGGTAGTTCTTCAGGACCCCCGAGGGCCATGCAATCATGTGCAGCGACAGGCAGTGGGCCAAAGCGTTTCCCTCCGAACTCCACCATGACACCTGCCTAGTTATTCCACAGTGGGCCCCAGACCCCTCCCGCGGTGAGGCATCCCTGGGCCCCTCCGCGCCTGCCAGACGGCTGGCTCTGCCCTGCAGGGTGGCCACGGGCAACCCAAGAACTGAAAGGAATCCCAGGTATTTGGACGGCATTAAGCAGTCCACCCCAAAAGACTTGCGCCGAGGGCACCAGGGCGCTAACCCCAGGGGCAGTTAGTGATGTCAACATGGCATTGATCCAGCTGCCCGCCAATAGCTCCTCGGGTCCCAGAGTCTAATGACGTCTGAGAGGGGCCGAGGCGCTAAGGGGCTGCAGACATCGGGGCTGTGGGACTCAAGACCTGTGCGGCCTCCCAGGGGCAGGAGAAGCCCGAGCACTCACCTGCTGGAAGGGGTTGGCGGCACGGGGCGAGCAGGCCAGGTAGTACTGCAGGATGTCTGCAGAGAGAGGGCCCGGTAGCCGCGTGAGGCCTGCCGCGTGCATGCGCTGTGCGCGTCTCTGTGTGCACATGCACGCGTGTGCTGATGTGCATCCGTGTGCACGTGTGTGGGTATACATGCTTGCACATAACTGTGTATCTACATGTAGGTCTGCGTGTGTGCCTGTGTGTGCATTTCTGCACACGTGCGTGAACAGACACGCATGCCCGTGTGTGCACGCGTCTGTATGTTGTACCTGTGTGTGCTCGAGCACGTGTGCGAGGAGATGTGGCCTGCAGGGAGCCCAGGGCCAGGGCCCAGACCCTTCTGCTACAAGCAGGGTCCTTACAGCATGCACGATCAACTCTTGGGGCGCAGCCCTGTTCCTCCCTTCCCCCCGGGGCAGCAGACGGGGCACCGGGGGTGGGCAAGGAGTCAGAAGAGCCACGGGGATGCATCTGCTCCTGGCTTGCTGGGGCAGGGTAACAGTTCTTAGGCTGGAGCAGCGCCCCCCAAAGGAGGGGACACGGCCTGGGTGGGGCAGCTGGGGGCGCCCAGGACTCAGGTGGCCTGCCTGTCTACACCCCATAAACACGTGTGTCGATTTGGCGTCCAACATTCAAAGATGGGGGTTCACTTACAATTCTGATTCTGAAAACCTCAAAAGACCCAAGCCTGGCTGGAGCTGAGGGGGAACTCAGACCCCGTCGGCCTGGCCCCATGTCCACGAGGCCCTCCGCCCGCAGGCCCGCTTGGCGGGGTCAGGGCCCTTAACCTGAAGCAGCGACACTGCTTTGGAGTCCCAGGCCTCCCTTCTGGGGGCCCCCGGGGCCTGGGGCAAGAGCTGGCACACACATCAGGCCTGCGCTCCCACTGAGCGTAGGAAACCCAGTTCACTTTGGCCACTTGTAAATGGAGCCAGCACGCCGGCCTTGGCACTGCCTGGCCCTGGGAGGGGTGGCCTGTGGCTCGCAGGCAGGGGCTCACGCTCCCTTGAGGCTGGGGGCTGCTCGTGCTTGCTAAGGACCCACGAGTCCTGAGCAGTGAGGACCCGGGGAGGCCGGGGAGCAGACAACCCTCCCTCCTGGGGGCTCCTCAGGCTTAGGTGGAACCTGTTCCTTCAACCAGAGAAGCTAAAAACCAGCCCACGTGCTCGCCCCTGTGGCTTTCTCAGGCAAAGAGGGAAGACGGTCCCGTGAGGCCAGGATCTTAAGGCCACTTACAACAGCCCCCTACCCTACTCTCAAGGAAGCCGCAGCACTTGGGCAGCAGGGCAAACCCACAAGCTTGGCTGCACCCGAGCCCCAGAGTCCCACATGCATCTGCCTCCTGCGATGGGCAACGTGCAGCACACTGCGGGCTCCCAACCTCAGACCCGCTCCCCACCCACCCCGCCTCGGTCCAGGGCTCCTGAGACCACGGCGGCTCAGGCAGAGAGCAGAGTCCTCGGTTGCTCCCTCCCTACACCGTGCTTCCCCAGGAGCCCCATCCTGCTGCGTCCCAGCACGTCCCCGTCCACCTCTCACCCCGCTGGCTCAAGGCACTCCAGCTCCTGCCTGGAGGGGCGCCTCGCTGCCTTCCTGCTTGGCCTCCTTGTCGCTCCAACAGCTTTGAAGGAAGCTTTGAAAAGGCAATCCAATCGTGGACCATGTCTCTTCAGGGCTTCCAACCCTCCAACGGATCCCCCGGAATTAAGCCCAAATTCCTGGCCTCTCCTGCCCTGCTGGCCTCCCCACCCTCTCCTCTCACAACTAGTCTATTTTCTGCCTCACAAACATATCAAGTTTGTCTCTGCCTCAGGGCCTCGGCACAAGACACACAGCCTTCTCTGGTTCAATTTTAATGCCACCTCCTCAGCAGGCCACACTGTCTGCTCTGCAGCGGTCTGTCACCACTTGCCCCCCCGGCCCCGTCACCTGCCTCCACCCTCACCCCACCCCCATCACTGGCCTCGCACAGCACCTGGCCTCATATTCGCAGCACCCCCCACTCACAGAAGGTGTTCCTATTCGCTCACTACCTTCCTGATCTGTGTGGGTCCTGCCTCCCCCAGACTGAGGGCCCACGAGGGAGGGGATGCCTTGCCTCGCTCAGTTGGGTCTCCCTAGCCTGGCCACTGGGGTGCCGGCTCAGACACAGCTGCAGACTCACCCCCACTCAGCACCGAGTGCTCCTCCACCATCCTGGTCACATAAGTGTCGGGGTCCACACAGAAGTCACTGGAGCCCTGGGGGGAGGTGCAGGTAAGGAAGAGGGGGTGACCAAGCTAGGTCCCCCATCCTTCAGCTCTCATGGATAGAGCCTGAGCCCCAGGTCTGCTCTCGGCTCCGGAAGGTAAAATATGAATGTGGGAGGGGCGCCTGGGTGGCTCCGCTGGTTAAGCGACTGCCTTCGGCTCAGGTCATGATCCCGGGGTCCCAGGACTGAGTCCCACGTCAGGCTCTCTGCTCAGCAGGGAGTCTGCTTCTCCCTCTGACCTTCTTCCCTCTCGTGCTGTTTCTCATTCTCTCTTTCTCAAATAAAATCTTTAAAAATATATATATATATAAAATACGTATGTGGGGAGGCACTGACTTGCCGTGTGCCCACAGAAAGGTCCCCACTCCTCGTGGAACCTCGGTGTCCCAGGGGAGAGGCGTGTGACATCTCCTCCCCACCTCCCCATGCCTCAGCCCAACAGACCGGGATCACACATCCCCTCTGCCACTCACCACAGACACGGCCAGCTCCAAGCCCAGTGCGCCCCAGCTGATGACCAGGGCCAGGACCCCCAGTAGGCAGACCCTTGGGGCAAAAGAAAGCCAATCAGCACCCCCCAAAGGCTGGGGTGGCTGCAGGCCAGAGGGCCGGGGCCCTGGGGAACATCTGGGGGTATGCCCACACAAGGGCTGCGACTCCTCCTTAGCTAGAGCCACCCGAAGGCCGGGCACGGACAGACCTCCCTCCCACCTGGGGCAGGCCGGGGTGCGGCTCATAGTAGGGCCGGGCGGGGGCGGGGGGTTGCTGGTCTTCTTGCTCTCCCCTCCTCCTAGCAGACAACGGGTCTTGGCCTTCGCCCGGCTCTCCACAGTGTGGCCAGAGGGACCTGTTAGCCTGGGCCAGACCCCGCGGGGCCCAAACCCTGCAGGGTGCTGCCTCGGACCACCTGGCAGGGTTCTGGCCGGCTCCCGCCTCACCTGAAGCCTGACCTCACCTGCCTCCCCGTTCCCTGCAGTCCAGCCACCCCAGCCTCCCTGCTGCTCCTCACACTCCCCACTGCAGGCCACGTGCTGATGGTCAGATGTCCCTGGGTCCCTCGGGTCTCTGCTCCAGTCTCCCCTCCCCGCCAGGCCTCCAAGGCACTGCAGACTGCCCTGCCCACCCCGTTCTCCCTTTGCCCGCAGCACTGTCACCCACAGTGTCTGGCCCGCGTCGGGGCAGGACACGGCTGTTCAACTGTCCCGGGGGGAAGGAGAACATCTCACCACTACCCTACAGAAGAGCTATCTCCGTCTTCATCTTTGAGATGAGGAGACGGAGTATCTGTGTCAGTGGGCCACCCACCCAAGGTGGCCGGCTGAGTGAGCGGCACAGTGGGGCCCTGAATCCAGACCGCCTCCAGGCCAAGGACAGAGCCTCCAGCTTGACCTTCTGGTGTCCCCACGATTAGCTGATTCGCACAGGTCCTCAGGTGTCTCTGGTTACAGTGTGCGGACTCAAGGGGGAGGAGCCCAGCAGGAACCAAGGACCGCCAGGGCAGATGTGCGCACCACTGGGGGCACAGGCCAAGGGCACAGGAGGGCCAGAGTGGGGCCCCACCCTTGGGCAGACCAGTGTCTAGATGCACAGATGGGGGAGGGAGAGCAGGGCTGACTCAGAGGATGGTGCTTTGGGTGCCCTCCCCCACTGTCCCTCAGGCCCACAGACTTACCCAACCAGAATGCCTTTGGAGCTGCGGATGAGGCCGACCAGCACCAGCAGGCAGATGGCCACGTCAAGGAGCAGCAGGCCCAGGTAGCCCAGCCACCTGTGGGCACACAGAGGGTGTGGGTGGCGCCCTGGGATGGGGGTGGTGCTCAGGCAGGGCCCAGTGGACCGGAGGGCCACAACCTGGGGCCCAGAGGCACATCCAGGGGCACTTCTGGAATATGGGGACTACAGGGGCTGGCATCAGCCTTCTTGTAAAAGAGGTCCTGGGGAACTCGGCCCCTCCCACCCCTAAAACCTCAGCCCCGGGCTCTGCAGCCACCCCTCCCACAGGCACTAGGGGCCAGGTGGGGCAGGCAGAAAAGAGGGCCAGCCGCACCTGTACCAGTCGTAGAGGTCCACCTGCTCCGCCAGCACCTCGAGCGACACGGTGGGGTTCCTCCAGAATGGGATGGCAGCTGTGTAGCCCAGCAGCGTCTGGAGCAGGCCCTGCAGCCGCTGGACTGCACGCAGGGGCTCTGGCCGCGTGGCCAGCTGCCGCTCCAGGCTCTGCAGGCTGGGCTCCGCCGAGCGGTTCAGAGCGGCCGCCGTGTCCCACACCTGCGCCGGGCCGGGGGCCGGTGAGCCCGGGCACAGACCCGCTCCCAGCACATGCCCACCCCTCGGGCACACACGCAGCCATTGGGTTCAGGAGCAGGGACAGAGCCCCCCTCCCCATCGGACGGCCACTCACGCGGTCCTGGACCCCTGCCACCGTGCGGTTGGCGTGGCGGAGCGAGTAGGTGGCCCGATGGATGCCGTCACTGGTCTCCCCGTTGCCATAGAACCCCACGGCGATGCCGGCGCTGAGACGGGGGCGGGTGGGAGGCAGGCGTGTGAGGGCGCGGTCGGGCCCCTCGCCTGCCCGCCGGGAGCTCCCCCTGGCCCCGCCCCGCCCCGCGCTCACCTGCAGACCAGCGTGGCAATGATGACGCACCAGGCGGTGCAGCAGCAGTCGGCGTCCAGGTGCTCCTCGCTCTTGCGCCGTCGGCAGCACAGCCAGAAGGAGTAGAAGAGCAGGAAGAGGAGATCCAGGGCGAGGCAGGCCAGCGCGGCGGCCCCCAGCAGCAGCAGCGCCTGTGCGAGGTGGGGACGCGGCGCTGGAAGAGCGGGCGCGCGCCCGGCTCTGCGCACCTGTAACACCGCGCCCTGGCGCACTCCCACTGAACCGTCCTCCAGCTCTGGGGACACTTGGGTGCTTGCCTGCGATCCCCCAGACTCCCGTCCTTAACCCTGCACTAGGCACCAGGACCGCACCCAAGCCACACTCAGAGGGGCCGGGCGGGCAGGGCCGTGGGGTCCTCCCAGGGTCCTCCCCCTCAGCGTGGACCCTGCTCTGGACCTGGCCGCCTTTTCGAGGCCCCGGGCCCTGGGAAGCCAGAAAGGCCCCGAATTCTCCAGCCACATCCCGGGAGTCACCAGGGTGGAGGATGAGCCCGTGGCACCCCCCATGGGAAGTGGTTCACTTGATCCAGCAGGGACACCCACTGTGGGCTGGGCCTCCATCTGTTGGAACACGGACCAGGCCTGCCTCCCCTGGGCACCACGCTCTCCCTATCGCCTGGCCCAGGGTGTCACCTCCGTTCACTGGTAAAGAAACTGGCTTCAGGGAAGATATGGAGGAAGGACCCATGTGCCCACATCATGGCCCCGCTGGGACCTCTGCCACAGCCTGTGTTGGGGTGGGGGTGGTGGCCTGATGGGGCTTCGGGCTGGGCCTGACCATGTACACCGCATGGGGGGGTGGTAAGTGCCACGCAGAAGGCCCAACACACAGTGGCACCCACCCCATGGGGACCATCAGATTTGTGGTGTGGCCGCTGGGCACCCCATGGCTGCCCTCACAGGCACTGCCGCAGAGACACTGGGCCTCAGGGGGACCTGGAACACCCTCCCTCCCCATGTCTGAATGCTCAGCAACCTGGCTGTCCCTGGAGTGCCCTGGGGGGTGGAACGCCTACCTGCCCCCCCCCCACCTGCAGGGACCCTTGGGAAGAGAGGCTCAGCCACAGAGGCCCTGGGACCGCTACCTTGCAGCCCCGGCCCCCAGCACCTGTCTCCCAGGAGATGGCTGCCAGGCAGCGGAGGCAGGATGGCACTCCCCGCCCCCCCCAGGAGCCCGCTGGTCCCAGAGGTCTCCCACCAGGCCCACCATCCCTGGCCAGCCCCCCATACCTGAGGTGGAGCTCTTCCACCTCCCTGACCAGGGCCTGCACCTCCAGCCATGCTTCAAAGCAACATTGGTGCCCTGGGGACTGAGGAGTCGGGCGGCACGACGAGGCACAGGGTGGGGGCCCCATCTTGGGGGAGACCAGGGTGGCACCGTGGGGCTGCAGTCACAGGCCACGGCTGTGCCCCGTGGGCTGCCAGCCGGGGCTGGCGCCCTCCATTCCTCCTTCAGGCCGGGGGTGCAGCTGCCCACCGCCCCTGCACTGGCAGGAGGCCTGAAGGGCCTGGCCGCCCCTGCGCACATGTGGGCGGGGGGCGGGGAGCTGGCCTCGGGCCACCTCCTCAGCCCAAGGCTCCCGGAGGCCAGGGGCGCTCACGTCACAGAGGGTAGGTGCTCCCACGACCCAGGCCGCAGGCAGGGGTCTCCAGGCCAGAATCGGGCGTGCCATGGGGCCAAGGGCCAGCCAGGGAGGGGCTCGCCTTGCCGGTCCTGGGATCAGGACTGCCCTTACCCTGCCCAGCACCGGATGTCAATAAACATTAGAGCGCTTGCAACAGCACCGTCTTGTGGGTTCCCTGGGTCTGCCTCACACGCACGGGCCGGACATTGACCCGAGGTGCCACAGGCCCCGCCCCCCCCGCCACCTTGTCGGGCAGAGGCAAAGGGCAGAACACAACACGGCCCCTGGGGCCATGGCTCGCTCGGGACATCGGTGCTGACACGACCAGGGCCACCCTCCAGCCCCCAGTCACCATGTCCTGACACGGCCACCTGGTCTCCTCCCCCCGCCCCGCACCCTCAGAGACCACACCACACCCAGATCGAGCTCCCCTTAAGGCCCTGCTGACCCTGGCTCCCAGGGTTCTAACAGCCTTCCCTCGGCCCTGGCTGGAGCAGGCGTACCCTGCCACCGTACCACCTCCTCTCCTGCCCGTACCCCTCCCCCCCTCGCCACGGAGAACAGGACGGGCTCGGAACGGGTGTTCAAATGCGCACATGGACGCACATCCTCCTGAGGTGGGGGAGCCGGGGCCAGAGGCACAGGGCCCGAGAGCCTACCCAGCCCCTCACAGTGACGACGGGCCCAGTCACTGCCTCAGGGCTGTCAGGACCACCCACTCCCATTTGCCAGATGGGAAAACTGAGGCAAGAGAAGCACCACCGGCCAAGCAGGCCCCTCACATCTGGAGCCAGGCGGGGCTCACCGTGCCTCTGGGAGCCAAGGCAGGTGCCAGGCCCCGCAGGTCCCCGACAGATATTGCTCGCAGCCCCTGGAGCTGCCAGGCTGGTGGGGGGGGTGGCGGCGCCCGCTGGACACGAGCTGGGCCACGCAAACCAAGAGGGCAGGCCGGGAGCGCACGGGACAAGTCTGTGGGTTGACCGTGGCCGGGCACCTCCCTGAGCCGGCTTGTCCTTGTGCGGAAGGTCAGGGAGGGGTGCCACACCCCTGTGGGCAGAAGTCCCACTTGTACCTTCTTGAGTCCTCTCCTACAGCTTTGATTTGGTTTGTTTTGTTGTTGTGGGTCTTTGGGGGTTTTCTTTTTTTGAAAACCACACACTTGTACTAACTTTATAATTAAAACGCAGAACCAGAAACCTGTTAGGAGCTCTCTCCAGCTGAGCGTGGGAGGCCCCTGGCCCGAGCCCAGCCCTGCCACGTGACCGTTCCCGCGCAATCGGCCCTGCTGCACTCTGCACCCCGGGCTCACCTTGGTGAGGCGATGTGACCGTCCCCTGGCCCCCCGGGCTGTCCTGCAGGAGAAGGCCCCCGGCAGCCCAGGTGGGCCCCTCCCAGTCTATGGCGTGGTCACACAGGCCCTGCTGGCGCCCAGGCCCCCAGGAGCCTCAGTGGAGGAGAGGGACACCCTGGCTGGCTACCAGGAGGCCCAGAACTGCCTTCAGTTAGACAGCGGTACGAGGGAGGAGTGTTCCGCCCCACCCCCCCAGCCACCCTGAAACTCAGGCCCACGTGGGGCGGTCCAGCCTGCTGGGAACCAAAGCACCAAGGTTCTAATGCTGCTCAGCCTGGCTCAAAGACACGACCGTGAGTCAGTGACTTCAACCTCCATGCCTCAGTTTCCCCACCTATAGGGTGGAGACAGGAAGCTCTGTCTCCTGGCCGGGGACTCTGAGGACTGCAGGAGCCAGTCCCTGGAGACATTCAGAACAGCACCTCCACGGGGGGCCCCCAGGAAAGGTCAGGGTCTCAAGGGCTGCTGCCCGGTGGGCGGCACGGGGGCAGAAAGTGGACACCTTGGCCGCTGGGGCGGGGGGGTCCAGGACAAGCTGAGCATGTCCACATCTGTGCCCACACGTGCACTCCCGCACCCGTGCGTTCCTAGACGTTCACGCCCATATTCACACTCACACGTGCACATGAGCAGTCACCCTGTGATCTCCCCAGCAGCCTGTGGCTGGAGCTCCTGGGGGTCGTGGGCAGGGAGGGGGGTCCCAAGCACCTGGGTGTTGGGCCACCTGCTGTGACTGGGAAGAGGGGAAGGCCGCCTCACACACGGCCACCTGCCTGGGGACACAGCCGCCACGGCCACAGGCTCGGAGGACACCACTCCCATCCCAGCCCTGCCTCACGGCGCCTAGTCAAGGAGCAGGGGCTTAGGGGAGGACCACCGCCCGGGGAGCCCCAGGGCCAGGCTTGACGGTGATCATGTGTCCTGGGGCTCAGAGCTGGGTACCAAGGGGGTAAGTTACTTCGCAGAGGCTTCCCTGGAGGCAATGACAGGCAGAAGCCCAGGTGCCCCCGCTGCCACCCCCACATCACCCCTGTAACCCTGCCCACTGGGAGCCAGGCGTCCACACACCCAGGGTGCTACCTCGTCCCCTGCTGGTCTGTCTGCCCAGCTCCAGGAAGCCCCCTGACCAGGAGTGGGGCCTGTCTGCCCACACCTTCCCCGGGGAGTGCTGGAAAGGCCTCCTGAGCTCATCAATTTAGCAGGGGCGGTGCCCCCTCTGGCACTCAGACCTGGCCCCCCGGCTCCCCACCCCAAGGTCTGAGCGGCTGGGAGCTTTGTCTCTGGCAGGACGGTGGGCTCCGGGGCCCGGACCACCACAGCTCCCCTCAGCCCCAGGGCAGGTGCCAGCACCCTCCCGGTTCACACAGGGGGGCTCGGCGGTGGTGGCGGTCCAGCCCATCACGGCGAAGCTGCAGAGCCTGTTGCCAGCTGGGTGCCCGAGCCGGGCACGGGGGCGCCCAGCATGACCTCTGGCCCCGTCTCCTCTTCGGCTGGCATCCTCATGGCAGCCCTGCCTCCCCTGGCCAGGGGCTGGCGTCCCTTTCACTTCCCCTGGGCCCATTCAGAAAGAGAATGGGAAATGTCTGATCAGCATCTGGGCTCTGACCAAATGGAATTTTCCGTCTGTGATGGAAGTGATGTCAGCGCTCGGTCAGGCGAGGCGAGATGCTCGGGCCCGTATCCTGACCGCGGGCCGCGGTGCCAGCTGCCAGCCACCTGAAGCGCTAAGAGCACGCTGGGCTCTGTGAGGGCGCCTGCAGTGGGGCCTCGTGTGGCCCTCCCACCCCTCCAGCTCATTTCTCAGTCCTGGAACACCCCACCCTCCCAAGGCCCCCGCAGCCCCTGCCAGAGGACGGCCCCCACCCTGGCCTGTGCCCACACACTCTCCTGTGAGCCCCAAGGGCCCCCAAAGCCCCCACCCACTCTGGAATCACCCCATGAGCCAGAGCTTGGGGTCTACAGCCTCCCCCTGGCCCAGGTCTGAGGTCTGCCGAGGGACCCAAGACCCCAGGCTTGGCAGGCGAGCAGGGGGCAAGCAGCTGTTTTCCATGTGAGCCTAAGCTGGTTCCCTGCACGGGGTAGGGGGGATCCCTGGCTCAGCCCCAGGCTTGCTGGCAGTCGGGGTACCAAGGGCCCCAACTAGCCCTGGGAGGGGA